AGCCGTCCCCGGGCCGCTGAGCCAGCCTTGTTTTTTCCCGGGCCAGGCAGCAAGTGGCGGGGACATTTGTTTGTAGCCGTCCCCGGGGCGCTGAGCCTGCCTCGCGTCTCCCCGGGCTGGGCGGCAGTGGCGGCCGGCAGGGGCATTGGATTTTGGCCGTCCCCGGGCGCTGAGCCTGCCTCGCGTCTCCCCGGGCTGGGCGGCAGTGGCGGCCGGCAGGGGCATTGGGTTTTGGCCGTCCCCGGGCCACTGAGCCAGCCTTGCATCTTCCCGGGCCGTGCGGCAGGCGGCCGGGGCATTGGTTTGTAGCTGTCCCCGGGCCGCTGAGCCAGCCTTGTTTTTTCCTGGGCCAGGCAGCAAGTGGCGGGGACATTTGTTTGTAGCCGTCCCCGGGGCGCTGAGCCTGCCTCGTGTCTCCCCGGGCTGGGCGGCAGTGGCGGCCGGCAGGGGCATTGGATTTTGGCCGTCCCCGGGGCGCTGAGCCTGCCTCGCGTCTCCCCGGGCTGGGCGGCAGTGCGGCCGACAGGGGCATTGGGTTTTGGCCGTCCCCGGGGCGCTAAGCCTGCCTTGTGTTTCCCCAGGCCAGGCAGCAAGCCCGGCGGGCAGTGGGGGCATCGGTTCCTGCTCGTCCCCGGGCCGCTGAGCCGGTCAAATCAACGGACGTGGAGGTACTGCAGCTGGCTTTTTGATTCGCCGCAGACCTCCATTGACTTCCATGGGGATTCTTGGCAATGAATGGGGCTGATTGAAATCGCTTCAAGAAGCAAGCTGCAGAGACACAGAGAGCTGCAAATGATCTCCACAGGAGATGCAGCAAGGGCAGGAGACGAGAAAGAGTCCGCTATGTCTGTGCACAAGCCCCAAAAGCTTTCTTCCTCTCCCTGCCTTTCTTGCTGGCCCTCTGATGTAAGCATCTGCTGGGTTTCCTCAACCTCCCCCCCCCGTTTTATTTTAATCCCACCATCGCCTCCCTCTTTCGCAAAGTTGACATTCCTAGGACTCGTAGCTCGCTTCGCTCCTGGAGTCACTTGGCAAAGTTTGAAGGAGAGGCTGCCTGCTCCCACCTCCCACGGAGCAGAACTGCTGCTTCCTCACCTCCCAGCGAAAGAACCCCAGAGAGCTGGAAGGCGTCCTTTCTCCCACTTTCCGCTTCCCATCCTCCCTTTTCCAAGCACCCCTCCCAGAGCAAACCAGAAGCCTCAACTCCAGCCTCCTGCAGCAGGCTGAGATAGGCGAGCCCGAGCGACCGTCTTCTGCTGCCTCAGAACATTCACTGCAGCAGCTCTTTCTCCCCGTCGGCTTCCTCCTCCGCTCCCTGGGAACCTTCGTGCCAAAAGGCAGCAAGAAGAAAGTCCCAGAGAGGGAGAGCGCGGGGTGAGGGGAGAGCAGTCTTTTCCGAAGGGAAGAGAAGCCAGGACTGCAGAGCCCGTTCATACCAGAGCTGGATGGGGGGCAGGGCAGGCGCACGTTTTGCCTTAAGCTCCTCTCTTCAATCAAGCCCTGTGTTCTGTGCGCATGCGCGTGCGCGCGCGTGTGCGCGCGCACATTTTGCGGCTCCCAGGATTTTTTTTTTGTGAGGGAAATGGATCCAAGTGGCTCTTTCACTGTTGCAGGTTGCTGACCCCTGGGTTAGAGGGTGGATGCGGTTTGGAGGGAAATGGGTGAACAATACCAAAAGTTGTGTGTATAAACTTATTCTATTCTTTATCTGAAGTACTCTTTATGAATGTAATGAAAAATTGAAACTAAAAATTTTTTTACAAAAAAAATAAATTAATTTCAAATTGAAATCAGATATATAATGTATGTAGAAACAAAGTGGGAGGTATTACTCATGTCTCTGTTTGGATAAAAAATATCTACAATTATAGTAATACTTTGTTTCTTTTCCCATAATAATAAACCAAGAAACAAAAGTTCTTTTTTGTACATACTTCCTAAATCACTAGCATAAGACATTCAGTTCTAGTTATGTACTATTTCCTCTATGTAGAAGGACATAATTCTTTCAGAATTACTAAAGAACAAAACTGTGCACAGTTCTTGTACAATAGTAATGTAATGCTTAAGTATAATTGATAATACTGTTTATATTATTGTTTTACACATGCTGCCAGAGCTCAAGGCAGCATAAATTAAATTTTACAAGTACAGCCATTGAGATAGGGTTGTTCGTCTCAAACAAAGTGACTATTCTAAAAACACCTCTGAAAATTAATCCTGTGTTTTCAATACCTTATTAGTCCTTGACTTACAACAGTTCATTTAATGACCATTCAAAGTTACAATGCCACTGAAAAAAGTGACTTATGACCATTTTTCACCCCTATAACTGTTGCAGCATCTCCAAGGTCACATGATCAAAATACAGAAGCTTGGCAACTGACTCATATTTGTGACTGTTATGGTGTCCCAGAGTTGTGTGATCCCCTTTTGTGACCTTCTGACAAGCAAAGTCAATGAGAAAGCCAGGTTCACTTAACAACTTGTTACTAACTTAACAGCTGCAATGATTCACTTAACTGTGGCAAGAAAGGTCATATAATGGGTCAAAACTCACTTAACAATTGTCCCATTTAGCTACAGAAATTTTGGGTTCAATTGTGGTCATATGTCAAGGACTATCTGTACTACACTATTCTACATTAAGCAACCTTTTCCCCCACCAGGCATCACATTTTTCACTGGTAATTTGTGATCACAGGTAAGTATGGCTACAGCCAAAATGGGTGAAAAAACTGCAATTTCTTATTGGAATCAGTTCCCTTCTTTTTGACACTTTATTTCTTTTCCTCCCAAGTAACAGGCTTCAGGTAACAGAGACATATTTTTGTTAACAATTGTATTAAAGAAGTTGTATTAATTGTAAGATAATTTCTTTTAAACCAACCAGGTCTTGGTATAGTTTCTATGCAGAACAATTATATTATGCAATTTATCAGAATGTAAAATGCTCAAGCATTGTATTGAATCACATTGGACAAAGGTTGAGATATTTTTAAATTCAAGGTGCTAATAATGTTCAGATTAAAATATTTTAATTAAATCACAATGAATGCTGCAAACAATCAATTAGATTGCCAGTAATTATTTACAATGGGCATATAAACTAGTAAGACCTTAGCTGAAAGGAACCTTTTCAGCCTTTCAGGGTGAGTAGTAGGTTTGGATCACATGTATATAATCATATCAAAAAATATCCCACTGATACACATATGGTCACATATAGAACGCAGAACAATGAAGAAAGAAAACTCCTTTCACCTCTCTCCCTAAGAATTCAACCTGTCCTCCATCTTAACAGGTTGCTATGCGATATCAAGCATATCATACAGGTTGCTGCAGTGAACAAGGTGTCTTGGGTTCTGAAAGTAGTAACAATTACTCTAGTAGTTTCGTTGAAACTTTTTTAGAACCAAGCATTGAAGATTCCCACTGTGGATGGCACATTAGCTGCTGGCCTGTACAGCCTTATTAAAAGGCCAATTTAAAAACAGCAGGTAGAAATAGAAGGTAGAGAACTGGAATCACATGTAGCAGGATTTGGTCCTGGCAAGAACATACCAAGGAATTGGGTAATTTTAAGCAAACATGAAACATATGAATAGGAATTTTTAGTAAACATAATATTTTACTAATTTTTAAATAATCATAATATTTACTTTTGCAGATAGACAGTATTACTTAAATAAAATAATGATAACTTTGCTTTTTTGTGGCTCAGTGGTTAAGACTTTAGGCAGCCCAAGTTCCAGACCCAAATGCCACGAGACAGGGTAATCTTCGGACAGTGCTGGCTCAATGGCCTTGAAAACGAGATGAGCACCACCCACTATAGTTGGTTACTACTAGCACAGTAAATCTGCAAGGATTCCTTTATCTTTTTAACTTTACTTTTCCCTTAAGCTCTCAACTTGTAAAGATCACTGTTTCAAAGCTAATTTCAAGTGATAACAGACAAAGTATTAAAATTTTGAAGTTTACAATTACTTCAAAAAGTTAACATTTCATTTTAATTTTATTTTTAAAGCTCTTCAATAAACAAAACATTATATGCATACAGACAAACATTATGCAGTATAGCACCATTAAACAATAACAGATCAGAATTGCTTCCTGACTGCCACCTAGCGTCAAGGCACTTTTCTCTTCTTAAATCAAGTACTACACATGAAAATAAAAGAACATATTCATTCATTCAGAAATACCATTAGCACTCCTCATAAAATTAAACAGCAGTCTTAGAAAGCTACAAAGTTTCCTTCCAAATGAATTTCACATTTTTCTAATTATAATTTTATTTTTTTAAAAGCAGATCTTTTAATGTTCCTAGCAATTTAATACTTTATAGGGAAAATGCATATTTATATCATTTTAAAAGTCTTTTATACTACAGGGTAGTTGGGGAGTATGAATGTTTTTTAAAAATAATAATCAGAAAGTAATAACAATGGATTTGTATCTGGCTGACAAACCGTATTCAATGAGTAGTCCTCAATGGTACCATATCCACATGGAGAGAAGTAAGCAGTGGGGTACCACAAGGCTCCATCTTAGGCCCAGGACTCTTCAATATCTTCATCAATGACTTATATGAAGGAATAGGAGGAGAACTAATCAAATTTGCCGATGACACTAAACTGACAGGAATAGCCAACACCCCAGAAGATAAACTCAGGATCCAAAAAGATCTTGACAAACTTGAATAATTGACCCTATCCAACAAAATGAGTTTTAATGTGGAGAAAAGCAAAGTTTTACATTTAGGCAGGAAAAAATCAAAGATATAAGTACAGATTAGATAAGACCTGGCCCAAACTGTGACTATGAGCCAGCAATGTGCAATACAATCTAATACAACCTGGAATTAAGAAGAAAGTTCCTAACAGTGAGGATAATTAACCAGTGGAACAGCTTGCCTTCAGAAATCGTAGGCGCTCCATCACTGAAGGTTTTTAAGAAGAGACTGGACAATCACTTGTCTGAGATGGTATAGGTTCTCCTGCTTGAGTGGGGGTTGGACTAGAAGACTTCCAACGTCTATTCTATTCTATTCTATTCTATTCTATTCTATTCTATTCTATTCTATTCTATTCTATTCTATTCTATTCCATTCCTATTTATTTGATTAGGACTATATCACAGTTTTCTTTCAGAAGTCCAAAGCAATATTTAACATTTCTTCCTTCATTTTTTTCCCTGCAGCAAAACTGTTTAGGTTTAGGAGATTTGGTTGAGAGAGAAGAATTGGCTCAATGAGTATTTTGAAAAATATTTTTGAAAACAAGAAGAGCAAAACCATAGGTCACAATGATTACACTTACAAAATCAAGCCAGATTTCAAACACTGTACCAAATCACATTCTATGAGTTTTCTCAGCTTATAAAATAATAACCATCAGTATTTCATTAATATTCTTTAACAAAAAGATAACTCTTTAGAAAAATGAATTATTAACATTTCAACAGAAACACAAGACATAAAGCATGGGAAGAAACATTAATTCCAGTCACATTTTGGGACACTATTGTAAAATAGTTAATTTCTATAGAATGAAAGATATAAACACTGCAAGTTTTGTTTAGAATAATTTTTTGCTTATCTAATAGACTTTTTTAAACTATTTAATATTTAGTGTACTTTGCCCATAAAAGTTAAGATAATGCTGTTGAAAAGAAGAAAAGTATTACATCAATAAATAATATTAATACAGATAATAATTCAAACAATAATTTTGAACCCTGGTGGCACAATGGTTAGAATGCAATATTGCAAGCAAACTCAGCCTGCAGTCTTCAGTTCAATTCTGATGGGGCTCAAGACTGACTCAGCCTTCTATCCTTCCGAGGTCGGTAAAATGAGGAGCCAGATTGTTGAGGGCAATACACTGACATTGTAAACTGTTCGATGTATGCTGTAAGCACTATGGAGCAGTATATTAGTCTTAAGTGTTATTACTATTGCCAATTTTCTCTAGCTTAATAGTTAGCTCTATGCTTTTTATATTACATTCCCACTTTGTACATCCTAATTACATTGAAGCAATTCTGGTATTCAATATAATAGATCAAAAGCAATGTTACAACAATTGATTCTGAAAAATTTGGATATCAGTTTCAAATGGGTCCATATCCAATTCACTATTTCAGAAAATACAATATGTAACTATTTTCTTTAGGAGCAACACATTGATTTATTGGCTAAGTACATTCTTCTTTTACAGCTCTAAAACATTGAGCTGAGATGCTTCAGCTCCCATTATAATTCCTAATAAGGTGTAAAATTGCATTTTGATTTCTTGATAAAAGAGATGCCAAAATGGGATGAGAAAAGCAGTGTGATGTTTCCAATCATTGTTAAAAGTCTCCTAGGACTAAATGTCTTGAAAAGATAATACAGAATTGAGATATTTCTAGACTAGCTGAGTATAAAAATTGGGGGGGGGGAGAGAAAAATACAGAGGGAAAGAAGTAAATAGGTGGCCCAAAAGCTAAAGTTCTCCCTAGCTAAAGTTAACATATAGAATATCTATGGGAAGGCACCACAGACTGTTCATTCAAGCATCTTCATAATATTTCTTACCAAATACATATGTAATAAAAACATACATAAATTTCAAGCAAAGAATGATTCCTGATAAAGAAAAGAATCTCTGATCAAATATTAAATTAAATGTTGGTATAATTTAACTTTAGGTTCATTAGAAATCATAATCTGCATTTTGCAATGACTTTTTATTACTAATACACTAAACCTTGAGATGGTGCTTCTCTTCATATAACCAATATCTTTCAAAATGATATATATATATAACTTTAATAGTATGCAAAACTAACCTGGCTTGAAATGTGGTAGCGCATGAACTCCAGGCCATGACTCTTCATTTGGAGTTCCTAGAACCTGAAAGAAGACAAAGAAAAATATATTCATTTTTAATATAGATGATCACTTATTATGGAGCATTTTAAACTTAGATTAATAAGAGTTAAACTTATTTACAATTTATATAATTTATAAATATCAATCAGTCAAACTTTATGATTACTTTTGTCACAAATTATTTTACACATAGAAAAAGTTATGATCCTTAATTTTTATTACCTAATTAAAAGGAGAGTGATGCTACTAATTCAAAAATGAAGGGTATACATATAAAATGTAAGTGTATTAAATAACATGATGAATTACTTAATTCATTTAAACTGAATACTCTGTACAGAGACAGATTGCCTTAGAGCAGGGATAGGCAACCTTGGCTCTTTTATGACTCGTGGACTTCAACTCTCAGAATTCCTGAGCCAGCCATGCTGGCTCAGGAATTCTGGGAGTTGAAGCCCACGAGTCATAAAAGAGCCAAGGTTGCCTACTCCTGCCTTAGAGCCTTTAAATGCATTATGCAATATTTAGTATGCCCAGTAGGTGGAAGCAGACAATTTACTCTTATAGCAACTTATAGCAACTTATTACTGTATTTTTTCAAAACAACACTAGATTTTTCCTAAATAATTTATTCTCTAAAATGGGAGGATAATCTTAGATTTGTTGGAAATACAATATTATGAGACAGAAAAGTTTCCACTGGCAATTTGCACATGCAGGTGCATTAAATTCAGAGCTGCTTTCCTTAGAAGACAATATGGTTTTAGTAAGTTAATATCAAGAAACCTAACTTCTTGATGAAAAACCTGGTCCTGTATAGCTATATTTTTAAAAGTACTGAGTTGCAAGATTTCATATACCATAACTTATTTCATCAGTCACAAAAAATACAAAATGTAAACTAATTACTAGAAATTAATTTTATATTTTGAAATTATTTTTTAATCTTAATCTTTTAATCTAATTTTCCAGGAAAAGTAATTTACAATAAAAGAACCTATATTTAACATGGACAATATATATCTAAATATATATGCATCTGCATGTGAGATGAATTGACTACAGTTTACCAATGTGAAATCAATAAAGATTACACCGATTTTGCTAAGTGTAATCCATTCAAATCTACAACAATTTTGTAGATTATCTGACACTAGTTCAGTTCCCACATTTTTTGAAGGAACCAACATTGTTCTCAGTTTTTAAAAATATTTTACACAGGTACAAATCTAATTACAAAATAGTAACACTTTCAGAGTGAACTACAAACAATAAATACACCACAGGACTGGGGGGGGGGGGATAGCTGTTGCCAGATCTCACTTAGACAACTTCTCCAAGTAGCTACTTTACTTTCTCAAAAGATAATTTAAGAACTGAAAGCAAAGAAGAAAGCAAAATAAACTTCAAAAAAATTCCAAGTTCTTCTGTTCCATTGACATCTTCTTATACTTTATTCAACATATATGTATTTTTTTCAAGCATCTAGAAGCAGACCAAATCAATCAATCTTCATCATTTAAAAAAATGTTAGCAGATGGGGTCAAGGTTATGGAATACTTTTGAGTGCCACATAATAGTATCAATCTAATTTCTCTAAATTGGTTTTTTAAAACAGGAAAAAAGTTTGTATCATTTTTGTATGCAACTTTCACTAACATAAGCCTTTGTTCTTTGAAGAAATATTTAATCTGAAGATAAGAACTAAATATTTACCAATAACTTTAATGCTACATATGTGGTTTTTTTCAAGAGTGAGCAAACTACTACTGCCAGAAGAATGAAAGCCTTGTTTGAGATGATCGTGGTAAAAGGAGGTTCTTCCCATATTTTCTCCCTATAGATCATTTTGGTTAGCCTGAGGAAGAATCTAAAATCAGCAAATAAGACGAGAAAGCTCTTTTAAGAACAGTTTAGATGTTAGTAAAAGGATTATCCTAAAAATATTATGCTAAGAGGCTGCTCCAGAGAGACATAGTTGTAATAATTTGCTTCATAAAGGCCTACAAATCAATATAGGCAGAACTCTATCATGCGACTTTCACTAAGCCAAATTCTGTTGGACATAGGAAGCTTGCTGTTATAACATTAAGAATTTCTGAAAAAACTTTAAAGCTAAATGAAAATTCCTCCACTCAAAATGTATGATATTGATAGCCTTCTTAAAAGATACTGTCTACCTTCACATCAGGAATGAAAATAGCTATTTCTAGAATTCCTAAGCTCAAGACCCATCCAAATAACCCATTACTATCAAGCAGGGGCAGACCTTGAGACCATACAGAACTTTCTTCGGATCTACATATTAGATCAGGAAATATTCCATCATCCCTTCAGCTGAATGGAATCTGTGTGTTTAGTCATTTGTTTTGGTTCTTATAGAAAGAGTTTAGAATGAACCACAAAGTATGGTTAAAGTAAGCAAGATTTTATAAACTACTTTCAACCATGACTTCAAACAGATTTTATTGTCAAAATTGCATGTTAAAACTACCATATAAAATATAATTAGATAACAATTACAGCTTAGCATTAAGTGAATTATGACCAAACTAAGCCAGATTCTTTTGTAACAATTGCCTGTATATTTTGACCTTCCTTTTTTATGGGACATGAGACTTTTCAATTTGTTACCAATATTAATATTTAAGAAATTAATTGTGGATAGCTTTCACTTGCTTCTTTCTGGCATTTATCAGGAAAGAAAACAGTGAAGTAGTGAATGCTCCAACACTGGAAGTTTTTAAGAAGAAACTGGATAACCATTTGTCCAAAATGGTATAGGGTTTCCTGCCTGAGCAGGGGGTTGGACTAGATGACCTCCAAGGTCCCTTCCAACTTTATCATCATCATTATTATTATTAATACCTATAAAACTTGAGAAAAAAATTCTTTGAAGTGTTAAATTCATTAATCTTGAAATTTATTTGGCAAGGAAAAAAAGCTAGAATCAAAATGAAAACATTACAAGATGCCAAGGAAAATGGAGGTTTTGGTTTACCAGAGTGGGTTTTATATTATCAAGCATCTGTATTACCATTCTGGGTAAAAGAACGGATAATTCTTAGAAACAAAAGGTTGTTATATTTGGAGGGACATGATTTACAATTGGGGTGGCATGCCTTCTTATGGAATGGGAAAAATAAAATTCAAAAGTGTATTTGGTATACAATTGACCAAAATATACAATTGACCAAAAGCCAACTGGAGAAGATACTTGTACTGAAGAATTCTTTCTGCTTTCTATCACAACTTATTTGTAATAGTCCTTGTTTCTGCCATTATTGGGGCATGAGGAAGATACTACTTGCTTGCTATTTGAGGAATCTTGATTTATTGAAGCTCAAGGTGAATTGGAATAACAGAAGTGTATGCGATATAGAAGAAATGCCTGAGAAATATTGGTAAAAAGAAGGAGCAAATATGATCAAACAAAGGTAAATCATAACAGCAAGGGTGGCAAATCATCAGTAATGCCTACCCTCATTATATCTGTCACATGTGGTCTAGTAGGCAGAGAATGGTGGGTCAGAAGAAATAATAGCTCAAAGCTTCATAGTTATTTTGTTTAAAGTCACTCATGTTTATTTGTTAGTAGATGCCAACTGGGAAAAATCTAATAAATTGATATCAATATCAATCAGAATAGAGCTGTAGGGAGCTTGGAGATCTTCTAGTCCAGGGTTTTTCAACCTTTTCACAGATTGTACCACTTTTAGGACATGATACTATTTGAGTACCACCAGTGCTTAGCAAGGTGCCAAAAACTTGATGACTAAAAAAAAAAGGGGGGGGGTTGGGTTACTGGTTATATTCATTTGTTGTTATAGAAATGGCTAGTTTGTAATATTATGGAAAAGTAAAAAGTTAAGGTTCAATGTTAATGCTTCCTTCTACTGCAACAGAGGAAGTCTGTTCTTTTCCCTTCTCCCCCTCACTTTCCTCACCTTTTTCCTCCCCACTGTGTTCTATTATTTGCTTTTGTATTTTTGTATTTTATTCTATAATCTAATAAAATATTACAAACTGTAGAAAAAAAAGAAAAAAAGTACAGTTTTAATTTCTTCGGTAGCTGTTCTTTTGCTGAATCACTTTCCCTTTGCACTGACAAATGTATGATGAATTTATCCATGTTTATTAATATGCACCAATACCAGCTAGCACAGGGGTCTTCAAATTTCACACTTTTAAGACTTGTGGACTTCAACTCCCAGAATTCCTCAGCCCTCATGGCTCTTTTTCCTTTCTCCCTTCTAAGTTCTTTCCACAGTGTAGTAAGAATGTACCCCCCAAATCCCTTCGCTGCACCCTTAAAGACACAGGAATCAAGTGCCAAGCAACAAAGGCTCACAAAATAAACATATAAACTCCAGGGTTTTTTTCTTTAAACTGCCTCAGACATGTCACATGTCACAATGTTGCAACCCGAAACTGAAAGGCTCTGGCAATTACAAAAAGCTTTAGCTTTAAATTAAGCCTGTTTACCTTCAAAGAAAACTTTCTAAAAGCCATTGACAGACTTAATTAAAGGGGGTAAAACTAATTACATTTGTTTAAAGGGATTAAATATTTCCCTGTTGTCTTTTTCCCCCTTTCCCGCCCAAATCACCTCCTTTTATAGCTTTTCCTCTCTTCCCCCCTTTTCTTCAGTTCACCTCCAGCTCCAAGCTGCTTCTGAAGTACCAATGCTGGCTCCTTCTGCTGAGCCCAGACAATCCTACAGTTGCAGCTACCTCTCCCTCAGACTTCGGTCGCTTCGGCTCATTCCCCTCCCCCACTATACTTTTCTAGGATGGTCACATACCATCTGCCATGTGGCAAAGTACCACAGGTGGTACACGTACCACCGGTTGAAAAGCCCTGTTCTAGTCCAACCCCTTTGCTCAAGCAGGACACCATGTCAGAGAAGTGGCTGTCCAGTCTTCTCTTAAAAACCTCCACTGATGAAGCACCTACAACTTCTGAAGACAAGCGGTTCCACTGATTAATTGTTCTCACTGTTAGGAAGTTTCTCCTTAACC